GAAGCTAACAATGAAGGTGAAGCGGAAATTACTGTACGACGCGAGAAATATCGTAGCAGACGCTAGGGTTCTCCATAAGGCGAAATCCTAGCAGAATAGCCGGTCCAATTATTCAATTTAAGGACAGGGAAAAATTGGGAATCTGTGGATTATATATATATATATTATGTATATATATATATGTATATGTTTGTTCCTTAAATGTTAATAATAAGCGCATTTGAAATCAGGAAGTACTTGAGGTCAAGGGAATACAAATTCAAGATTGACGGGGTGAAACACTTTGAAAGATAATGTATATTTTAATTAAAGTTACAATTTAATTTACTTGATTTTGAATTAATATTTAATAAAATATTAATTCATGAGAACAATTAAGGTTGAGGAACATTTGAACCTAGAAGATTTGGAGATAGAGAGTCGTGAGACAAGCAAACTAAACAATGTGAGTAATTATTTTCTTATATGTATTAAATTGATATTTTATTAAATAAAGACTTGTCTTAATACTTCAAACAATTATTTTAATAATTATATGAATGTTGTATGCATGTTGTAAATTTAAGAATTATTGAAATAAATGAAATGAAATGAAGTTGAAAATAAAAAAAAAATGATTGCTCAATATTTTTAAAATGAAGTAATTTAAAGGAAATAAAAGGTAAAGACTTAGGTATGATTACCCCCAAATGGTACTGACAGGATATGCGATATATCCGTATACGAAAAATACAATGTGAATTTTAAGGTGTACATTCAGGTGCAAAATTTTGAGGGTACCTACATTTACAATTTTGAGATGACAATCATTCTGATGTGACTTCTTAAAGAGATAAAAATTATAAATACTTAAATTAAAATGAGAAGGATTAAATTAAAAGTAAAAGCTTGTAATTTTGAATTATCAATAAATTGCATACCCTTGGGACATTCATACATAATATTTACATATTAATTTAATACATAACAAGATTGTAATTAGTCACTAAGTGGTGAAAAATTTACAATTGAATTTAATTATTTCTTTCAGGAAAAATTATAGATTGATATGTCAGACATGAGAGATTTTGTTTATAGTAGAAAAACTACTGTTGATATGTATTACGTTTTGTGGTTTTAATTATTGTACTGTTTACCTCTATGCAGTGAGATGCTGTTGTGTGTTGGTTTGAGATGTTTTATTTTAGATTATGTTGTTCTAGATGATTTAAATTTTTATTTAGCGAACATTGTGATTTTATTAACTTTTTTTATTGTTGGAACTTATGATGAATTATTGAATGATTTAGAAGAATTGTCAATATTGTCGGACCGTTGTTCATGACTTGGTTAATTCAAAGTTATTAGGTTGTGTCGTTACGTTTTTTTGTGACAATAGTCACACACGAAAACCAAATCTAAAAAATTTTTAGTTGTCTATGCATTTTACAAAATAACTTTTAACTGAAATACAATGCTTTAAAAATTGTCAAGAACATCAAAAGAACAAAATATTGCATATGAACTATGTTAAATGCACCAATGACCAAGTCTAAAGTTAAAGTATTTTGCACACAAAAACAAATAAAGTGTCTACCTGTGCTCTAATCAACATGCTAAACACTAGAACATAAGATACGAGAGTGTTGCACAGGTAAAATGATGAGGTAAACTCAAATTTGTCATGACTGGAAAGTCACAAAAGTTGCATTGACAAATGTTCTAAATTGCGTTCAAGTTTATTGAATTGAGTATGTTTCTATGTGTTTTGGCCAATGTGCTAATATTCAAATGTATGGTTATAGAATGTTTTGTGGATTAAAAAATGAGATAAACTCTAAGCATTTTTTTTTTCGTAATCTAAGCTGCCAAACCTTTATGTCAAGTTCATAAGTCTCACATCTCAAGTTCGATCATCTTTATTCTTAAGATTGAAATTGAAAATACTTAAACCACATGACAAACATCTATACATTAAGTTTAAAATGAGAGGAGATTCAATTTAACATTGGCTAAGATCTTCAAGGTCTTTTATAAAGATTTTTTTTTTCTTTACTTTCAATTTCAAACCTATACGAAACTATCATGTTGTGAAAATAGACCCTATTATTTACTTATAAAGCAGAGTTAATAAGATCGGCAAAAAATAATATCTAATTAAACCTAAACCAACCATAAGTTTATATCTGATCATCCACAAACAATTAGGTAGAGTAAACAAAATCTAAAATAACAAAATTAAATCATTCAAATATTTCAATAATAGTCGGTTTGATATAAGATTTCAACTTAATGAGTATATTATTATCAAACAACTATGAAATTTTAATGTAAATATTTTGCTCTTAAATTATGATAAAAATATAGTTTCGAGAGAAATTATAGAACAATAAAAAAAGTTTATATGAAATCTACTCCTATAAATCTTCGAGCAATAAACCATCCATCTTCTGCAATAATATCATGAGCATCTCTGGGGTTTCTTTTAAAAGATTTCACACTAATAAGGACATGACACATGTTTTTTGACTATATAACTTGCCATCAATAGCATGACAAGAAGTGCTATTAAGACCGGGCCACATTGAATTTTTTGGTTTGTCATAAACCCTCTTTCATATTATAGTCATGACCAAAGCCCAAATATTCACCAATGGATCCCAATTGAGTTGTAAATCATATGATCTACTTAATATGATACAAAGACTTTTGTTAGGTAAGATCAACAAATTTTTTTTCTTAGACAAACACTAATGGATGCTCATAATGATCTTTTGTTCAGGTTGGGTTGATAATTTTTATTAATTAAGTGAACTTGGGTCCATGACAGCCCATAATGACAGAACTATGAGATCTTTAGTAAGTTCATTTTCATCCCCCCTATCACCCATTTTAAGCTCATTGTGATGAATTTTTCTAATAAAAAAATTGATTGTTGCTACTTTACATTTAGTTCATGGCAACCTACTGTTAGCCTTAATTGAAAGTTCTCTATCACCACGTAGATGGATAACTTAACATAGGTATTTAAGCCTATGAGAAACCTCGAGCAAATTTTGAAGTGCTCATTACTGAGGGAATCTTTGGGTACTATTTCATCTAAAATTTAATATGGTTTTAAAATTTGATGACAAACCAACAACACAAATTCTCTTTGGGGAGTCTGACACAAATTTTCGAAGCCCACATGGATTTAACAGACAGAAAATTTACAATGAAAATAAAAAATTAATTTGGATAAAGCATCATTTATACAATACAAGCAACAACAAGAAAACCTTTATCCCACTAAGTGAGGTCGGCTACATGAATATTTCTACATTCGTCCTATTTAGTGTCATATTGTCATTTCATTCTAGTAAATTAAGATCATTTTTTATACAATATGCACAAGTCATCCTAGGTCTACCTTTGCCTTTCTTATTCTTAACATAAGTAACTTTCTTAACATAAGTAAAATCTAAAACATCTACTCTTCGAATCGGATCATCAGATGGTCGACGTTTAATGTGACCAAACCATCTAAGACGACTCTCCCTAATGTTGTTTGTCACTGGAGCTGCACCAACCCTATCACAGATATATTAATTTTGCATTTTGTCTCTAAGTGTAAAGCTTCTCATCTCGGCAACACTTAACTTAGTTTTATGCTTCTCTTTTATTTAAAGGTCTTTTAAAGGCCAATATTCAACGCCATATAGCATTGCAGGTCTCACCACCATTTTATAAAATTTTTCTTTAAGTCTAAGCGGTACTTTTCTATCACACAATAGGTCCGAAGCATTTCTCGACTTTAACCAACCAACTTGAATAATTACATCCCCATCAATATCTAAATCGTTCACACCTTTTAATAATTTGATCACCCATAGTTACATTTCTGTCACTAGAGCTACTACTACTAAAATTACATTCCATGTATTCAGTTTTAGTTCTACTTAAACGAAGCCTTTAGGATCCAACGTAGACCTCCATAATTCAAGTTTTTCTTGAGCTTTTTCTCTCGTCTTATCCACAAGAAGGATATCAGCAGCAAAAAGCATATACCAAGGTACGTCCTCTTGTAAGTGTCCAGTAAGACTATCCATAACTAAAGCAAAAAAATACGGGTTTAAAGCCGATCCCTGATGTAAACCACCAGAAATAGGAAAATATTTGGCCAATCCTCCTTCTGTTCGAACACATGTAACAATTCTTGTATACATATCTTTAATGACTTGAATATAAATCATATCAACACCTTTCTTCTCAAGAACTCTCCAAGGATATCTCTTGGAAGTTATTGTAAGCTTTCTTTAAATCAATAAAAATCATATGTAGATCCTCCTTATTATCTTTGAACTTCTCCATCAAACCTCTCAATAAATGTATAGCTTCCATAGTAGACTTGCTCAGCATAAATCCAAATTGATTATGAGAAATCTTTGTAATACATCTTAATCTATGTTCAATTATACATTGATGAAAATAATTTGAATTGCTGAAAGTTTATTTGAATAAAAGTGTTTTAGTTCTTCAAATTTTCGTAGTTATTTTATTATGCGTTTATTTAATGGTCTTTCTTACCTAAGTTATGTATCTTGTTTTTTATCACTCTTCTGTGTGGTTGGTTCCCTTGTTAATGCAGGTCATCTAAGCCTAGTTTTTGGCACAATGCTGCCTTTTATTATAGAAACTACAATCTCTTCTAAAAAAAAAATTATGTTATCTAAAATACTTAGCAATAATTATATTGTTATTTTTATGTAATGCATTGGTTTTGTTTAGGATAAAATAGATATTTGTATTTTATAAGATATACTGCGTTACTGTCTCTGTTTTTTTAATTATACTATCAAGAAACCTTTTTGACGGAAAGGCTTTTGCCGATGCAATTTGCAGATGCCCATATCCTTTCTATTTACTGTCTTTTATGTCTTGACAAAAAACTCTTTGTGCTGGAATTAACTCAAAAAATTGTTTTAACTTTTCTTGAATGTTTAGTATCTTTTAATATTTGTTATTGTGGCGTTCAATTCAAGGTTCTTTGGTGGTTAGAAACATAAGTGAGATACCCCAAAACAACTTTGGCAGAGAAGGTTTTTCACACATCACAATTGCGGGGGCTGTACTACATGGAATGAAAGAGGTATGTTGGCCATCCGTTTCAGTTAATATCTGTTTTCCTGTAAGTGAAGTATCATATGCTTAAATCTCTCGCTTCTTTAAAATAATTATCTAACTTGGTTTTGCTATTTCTAATCCCTCAGGTAGATAGGTTTTATGTTGATAATGTTTCATAGGTTTATTTATTATTTAAGTTAAAAAAAAGGATTACCGTGTTAGCAAACTTGAAAATCCTTTCCCCTCCTAATAAATGTAAAATGTGAGAGCTTTTACGGCTATGTGAAAGATCTGACAGTATAGAAAAGCATAGCAGAAAGCATTGGTAGATTAATGAAATAAGCTTTATTCCATATGTCACTGTGGTATCAGATCAGGCGATATATATATAGGCTTGCTATATCTCTCTGTTACAAAATGTTAGAAGATGTTATACATAAACGGCTGAGATGAGCTGATGCTGAATTGTCTTATTTTGATGGATTTGGTTGAAAGTTATGGAGAGAGATTATTCTATTATCACCTCCCTCCAAGATGATGATCCATCTTGCCTTGGATTGTAAGGTTGGATATGAGATTGTCAACGTGAGCCGAGGAAAGGTTTACAAACAAATTAACAAGAGTTAATCTTAAGTGTTTATGTGATGATTAGTATTGTTTCAACTTTGACATAATCTAAGATGAAGAGATTGTCAATCAGGAAGGACGAAAATTAGGCAACTAAATTAGGAGTTTTCTATAATTAGGAGCTTCTTTATTTCCAATATCTTTATTCTGATTTATTTTCCTTTTAGCTGAATATTTAGATTATGAATATGTATTATTAAGTTACCTAAAATATATTATACACTTTATTTTGTACCTAAAATAGATTGTAAGATTATTCTTTAATGAAATAAAAGCAAAAGGAAAAGACATTGAGCCTATTCAGTATTCAGCCTATTTTTCTCAAAACTTTGGCATGGTATTAGAGCCAAAATTTTGCCCTAACCACTGATAATCTTTGGAGGACCATCGAGACTCCCTTCTCGCCGGTCTTATTGCGGGAAGGGATGAACTATTTCTTTGCCTTATTCTCGCTCGTCTGCTTTGTCTAAAACCCTCGTCTTCTTAATCTGCACCGCCGCCGGAATGAGAAACACAATGGATAAAGTTTTGGGGTTTTGATGAGAACCTAAGTGAAATTTCAGAACGAGAAACACAACGGAAAAACATAGATCCCCGATCTAAACACTAGCCGCCGCAGCGGCGACGATCTCCATCGCCCTCTCCTGCAACACCACCGCAGCAGCTCCCATAGACTTCATCCGATCTTCCTGCAAGGTAACTCGCTAACCCGATCTCTGCGAGAAGTGCCTAATCGACTACACCCCAGCGATTCAGCACCGCAACCCCCGCCAACTCACTCACGCAACCCTGAAAGTTTCAGCCGATCGCTCCTTCGCAGCCTCGAACTTCGTTCACAAAATCTCGGTGAGCTCAAAATCGTCCTCCACAACTTGAAGAACCTGCGACGGCGGTGTCGTTCGCGATTGGGTCGAGACGATCGACGACTCCGTTGATCGGCTGTGGAGATCGGTTAAGGAGATGGAGCGAATGGGGCGATACAGAAGCATATCCTTCGGTTGGCATCTGAATAACGTTCAGACGTGGGTGAGCGCCACACTTACAGATCAGAGCACATGTCTCGATAGTCTCTTGTAGAACAAAGCGGCGACAGATGTGCGGCCAGAGATCCGCCGCCATGTTGTGCACGTCTCTTGACTTACCAGCAATGCGCTCGCGCTCATCAACTGCCTTGATCCCAATAACTGATTCATTCATCCGCAACTCTGGAATTAGGACTCTTTTTGAAATGTTTGCTGCTCTTCTCGTTAAGAATAAGGTGGAAAAGAAGAATTATGTCTTGAAGGAGATGAAACTTATTCTGAAGTGCAAAATCCATTCATTGTGGAATACAAGGATTATTGGGTTGAAAAAGTTTGTTATGTTTATATTATTATTCGTCTGATTCTGATCTTCTTCACTAGGCATCACTTCTTCTGTGGCATTTTTGACTGCTTCTTACGTTTTGCTTCGTTCGCTTCTGCTTTGGGCTTTGACACTCTCGGGCTTCGGCACTATCGGGCTTCGACACTCTTGGGCTTCATAACTATCGGGTTCGACACTCTCAGACTTCGACATTCTCGAACTTCAACACTCTCGAGCTTCGACATTCTCGGGCTTCAACACTCTCGGACTTCGGCATTCTCGGGCTTCGGCATTCTCGGGCTTGGACACTCTTGGGCTTCGACGCTCTCATGCTTCGACATTCTTAGGCTTCTACAATCTCAGGCTTCAACACTCTCGGCTTCGACAGCTTGAGGATTTTTGGTCCCAACAATGTTATCAGCTTCTTGTTGGTAAATTGATACTTCTAGATCAGTCAGCATCAATTTGGGGTGGGATGTCAATCAGGAAGGACATAAATCAATTAGGAGTTTTCTATAATTAGGAGCTTCCTTATTTCCAATATCTTTATTCTGATGTAGTTCCCTTTTAGCTGAATATTTAGATTAAGAATATGTATTATTAAGTTACCTAAAATAGATTCTGCACTTGATTTTGTACCTAAAATAGATTGTAAGATTATTATGTAATGGAATAAAAGCAAAGGGAAAAGATATTGAGCCTTTCAGTATTCAAGCTATTTTTCTCAAAATTTTGACATTGATGATCCATTTCAATGTATTTGGTGTGCGCATGATAGACAAGGTTGTTGGAGAGGGTAATTGCGGAGACATTGTCACAGATTATAGGGTTGGTGCAGTGATGGTGATGCCTAGTTAATGCTATCATCTGATGAAATACCGTAGTGACATATAGAATAAAGCTTCTTTTATTATTCTTAACATTGCTTTATGCTACAAGGCTTGTTTATTCACTGCATAGGACATTGTGGCTAAGCTGGTTGGTTGTAGATTAGTTCGAATGGTTGTTTTGAAGGCCTAACATTTGGGTGGCAACCCATTGAGCGTATAGAGGATGATATGCTTTGGTGGAAGGGAAGTTCTAGCAATGACAAGAACCTCTATTTTGCTTTTAATATCGCTTTTAATATCAGATATATATTGGGTCATTATCTGACCAATCATCTGTATGTTGTGAAGTTCATTTTTTCAGCTGTATTAACACAGATTTATTTGTTGATTGGAGTGAAAGATTGAATTTGTCTCAAATATTAGAGCAGGCGTCACGCCCCAACTGGCCTCTCATTTAGGGTCAACCATAGTGCGACAGAGCCAGACGACTTAGTCAAACTAAATTCTCACCAATATTTGTCTCGACTTGCCCAATCAGGACTCGGTGGTTAATAAAGTAATTTAACTCCATCGTCACAAACATTCATAATTTATATATATTCTCATATACTCGCAAGTGCGAAAAATCATGTTATCAAGAATCATATATAGAACTGTTAAAATCCAACATAATAAAAATACATACTCAAAAGTCTGTACAACCAAAACTATAAAATACAAAAGCTGTACAATCTCACATTTGGCTGTTCACCCTCGAGCTGCTGTTTTATGCTGTTATCTCCTACGAACCACCATCCCCTCCCTTCCACCATTATTGCCGCCAAAACCGCACCTCTCTTCTGCAGCCTTCCCACTGTGTTGCTGCCGCCTAGGACAGCTAAGACACACATCTTTCCTACTTTCCCATCGCTATCCACCCCCTCTCCTTGCTGCCATCACTCGGGACAACCTCCTTGCTGTCCGTGTTTATGCACTTTCCCCTCACTGCCACCTACATTCCTTTGCTGTCGCTACCCTTGCCAACCATCCCGATCCACCTAGCCGATCTCCACCACCCTGGTATACACTTTAGGGGTGTTTGCTTGTGTCATTTTATGCTTGTTATCATTTATTTTCTTTTTGAAGAGTCCTTGATATTTCTATTTCTATTGTGGTTTGGGTTAACTCCGGTATCATTTGGTATCAGAGCTAGCAAAATCCTAGTCCCACATAGAATTTCCTAACATCTATCATAACCCATAAATTTTTCTTCATACCACTAATAACCTTTTCACTTCCATAAATCCCAAATCCTAACCATGCCACTAAGAAGATATATGCTCGAGTTTACGAAGGAAGAGATTTGACGAGAGCTTCGTCGTCTTCAGCGGAGGCTTGCGTAGATTGATGAGATAACCTAAGGGGAGGTTGTCCTCGATCGAGATCTGGAGAGTCGAAGGGGAGAAAGAGAGGACGATCTGAATCCCTTCCATTGGGAGACTTTCAGTGATGAAGAAAATAGACCACGACGTTTTAGAATCCAATACTAGAGGAGACCTGGAGAGGGGTATCTAAATCTCTTCCATAAGGAGAATTTTGGAGAGGAGATATCATTTGGAGGGCACAGAGACCTGGTATCAAAGTGGATTCGCCAGAATTTGATGGAGCTATTGATCCAGAAGAAGTTATTGATTAGCGGCAATCTGTTGAATGAATCTTCGAGTATAAAGATGTGCTAGAGTATAAAAGGGTCAAATTAGCTACTATCAAGCTGAAAAAATGTCTCTTTGTGGTGGAAGAACTTACAGAGATAGAAAAAATAGATGACAACAATAATATTACTAGGTGGAAGAAGATGAAGAAAGCGATGCAGAGGAAATACCTCCTGCTCCATTGTCTCCAAGATATGTTCCTTAGGCTTTGTCACCTACAGTAGATGGGTCTTTTAATAGAGGAGTTCATGACGTAGTTTGATCAGTTACAAATGAGGTGTGATTTGTTTGAGCCAGAGGAGCATACCATAGTTCGTTATCTTGCCTGAAGCCCATTATTTGTAACATGGTGCAGCTGCAGCCTTATTGGTCACTTGGAGATGTCCAAACATTAGCATTGAAAGTAGAAAGACAACAAAAACAAACAGATAGCCACCAACAGTCCGGCGGCCACCCGCAGTTGGAGACACCAGTCGGAGTACACTTCAGGGAGTTGAGAAAGCTGGTTCATATAAGGATAAATCCACTCTTAC